CCTCCACCTCCCAGGTTCAAGCAGTTCTGACTCAGCCTCCAAAGTGCTGGAATTACAGGCACCCACCACCACACCCGGCTAATTTTTGTATTTTTAGTAGGGACGGAGTTTCACCATGTGGCCAGGCTGGTCTCAAACTCCTGACCTCGGGTGATCTGCCTGGAGTTTGAGACCAGCCTGAGCAACATAGTGAGACCCTGTCTCTACACAAAATACAAAAAAAAAAAAAATTAGCTGGGCCTAGTGGCATGGGCCACTAGGCTCTTAATGGTCTTAAATTCCTGAGCTCAAGTGATCTCCTACCTTGGCCTCCCAAAGTGCTGAGGTTACAGGCGTGAGCCACCACACCTGGCCTTCTTCTTTTATTTTTATTTTTATTTTTTTTGAGACGGAGTCTCGCTCTGTCGCCCGGGCTGGAGTGCAGTGGCCGGATCTCAGCTCACTGCAAGCTCCGCCTCCCGGGTTCACGCCATTCTCCTGCCTCAGCCTCCCGAGTAGCTGGGACTACAGGCGCCCGCCACCTCGCCCGGCTAGTTTTTTGTATATTTTAGTAGAGACGGGGTTTCACCGTGTTAGCCAGGATGGTCTCGATCTCCTGACCTCGTGATCCGCCCGTCTCGGCCTCCCAAAGTGCTGGGATTACAGGTTTGAGCCACCGCGCCCGGCCTTCTTCTTTTAAAATACCAGTTTGTACAGCCGCAGAAGCTCGAATCTGATTGGTCCAGGTCAGGCTGTTGAGTCAGGCCATTTCATAGGTGGTTTGAGAAGCCTTTGAATTGGCTGCAGGTGGGAGGAGTGTCAGTGGATGGGCCCCTGAGGATGTCCTAGGAGCTGTGGGCGTGGCAGGTATTCTGTTTAAGACACAAAGCAAGCCATTCTTCCCAAAGAGGGTCAGGATTCTGGTTTGAATGATCACTGATTATTTTACTTTTCTTGAGAGAGGTTCTCACTCTGTTGCCCAGGCTGGAGTGTAGTGGCGTGATCTCGGCTCACTGCAGCCTCCACCTCCTGGGTTCACACCATTCTCCTGCCTCAGCCTCCTGAGTAGCTGGGATTACAGGTGCCCTCCACCACTCCTGGCTAATTTTTCTATTTTTAGTAGGGACGGGATTTCACCATGTTGGTCAGGCCGGTCTTGAACTTCTGGCCTCAAGTGATCTGCCCGCCTTGGCCTCCCAAAGTGCTGCGATTACAGGCATGAGCCACTGCGCCTGGCCTGAATGATAACTACTGTAATATTGCTAAAGTCTGCATGATGAGGCTTCCCCGAGTTTACGCATGATTTGACATACCTGGTTTCCTTTTGGATGTGTGGTCGTCTGCATCAACTCAGGACTGCAGGAGATTAAGTGAGAACATAGAGGGTATTTTCTTTTTTTTTCATTTTTTGAGACAGTCTCCCTCTGACACCCAGGCTGGAGTGCAGTGGCACGATCTCGGCTCACTGCAAGCTCCACCTCCCGGGTTCAAGCCATTCTCCTGCCTTAGCCTCCTGATTAGCTGGGACTACAGGAGCCCACCACCACGGCCGGCTAATTTGTTTGTATTTTTAGTAGTGATGGGGTTTCGCCATGTTAGCCAGGATGGTCTTGATCTCCTGACCTCGTGATACACCTACCTCGGCCTCCCAAAGTGCTGGGATTACAGGCGTGAGCCACCATGCCCAGCCATAGAGGGTATTTTCAAATGCTTTCTCAAAGAGAAAAAGCAAAAAAATTCTCAAAAAGAAAAGAAAAAAAAAAAAAAAAAAAAAAAAGTCTCGATAGGAAAAATCTGACAAGTGGAGTCCTGGTAACCTGTTAATGGTTAATTCTCAGAACAGTGTCTCTGTGCATATCCTTGGCCAGCAGCCAGCACCTCAGTCCCCTGGAGTGGCAGTTGCAAGTCACTGGCATGGCCACAACAGTTTCTGAACTCAAGCTAAGGACAGAACTTTGTTTTTGTCTAAAATTCCCTCATAATTATTTTTGTTTTGTTTGTTGTGTTTTGAGATGGAGTCTTGCTGTGTCGCCCAGCCTGGAGTACAGTGGCACGATCTTGGCTCACTGCAACCTGCGCCTCCTAGGTTCAAGCAATGCTTCTGCTTCAGCCTCCTGACTAGCTGGGATTAGAGGCGCTCACCACCACGCCCGGGTAATTTTTCTATTTTTCACAGACAGGGGTTTCACCACGTTGGCCAGGCTGGTCTCCAACTGCTGACCTCAGGTGAACCACCTGCTTCAGCCTCCCAGAGTGCTGGGACTACAGGCATGAGCCACCGCCCCCGGCCCCAAATTTCCTTATTAAACAATTTCTCTCGCAGAAGCACAATGAGTGAAACTGGCATGAAGCCATTCCACTGAATAACCACATCAGTGAATTTCCTGGTCCTCTTTCAACAAACAAAAACAAGTCGTGGTTTTCCAGGCTGGTTCATTTGAGTCTACCCTCAACCAGCACCTGCCCAAGCTCCTGGCCTAGAAGAGGCATACGTGGCAGAAATACAAGCGGACAACAGAATAAATAGCATCAATGAAAAGAGTCAAACTTTGTAAAACATTTGAAGAGATCCATTCCGAGTCAAATATGAGTGACCATGGCCTGTGGCCCAGCCCTCAAGAGACCCAGAGAACATGTGCCCAAGGTGGTTGGACACAGCTGGGATTTATACATTTCAGGGAGACGTGAGACAGCAATTAAATACATTTAAGATATATATTGGGGACAGCTGTGGTGGCTCACATCTGTAATCCCAGCACTTTGGGAAGCAGAGGCCAGTGGATCACTTGAGCTCAGGAGTTCGAGACCAGCCTGGGCAACGTGGCAAAACCCTGTCTCTACTAAAAATACAAAACGTAGCCAGGTGTGGTGGCACACACCTGTGGGAAGTGGGAGGATCACTGGAGCTGGGAAGCTGAGGCTGCAGTGAGCCATGATTGCACCACTGCATTCCAGCCTGGGTGACAGAGCAAGACCCTGTCTCAAAAAAAAAAAAAAAAAAAACATTGGTTCAGAAAGGTAGGATAACTTGAAGTGGGAGGGCTTTCAGGTTATAGGTAGATTTTTAAATTTTCTGATTCACAATTGGTTAAAAGAGTTATTATCAATAGAAAGGAACATCTGGGTTATGATAAGGGGTTGTGGAGAACCCCCCCCAAAAAAAATTCTCCAAATAGCAGGCTTCAGAGAATATATTGTAAACATTTCTTTCTTCTTTTTCTTTTTTTTTTTTTTTGAGACAGAGTCTCCCTCTGTCACCCAGGCTGGAGTGCAGTGGTGTGATCTTGGCTCACTGCAACCTCCACCTCCCAGGTTCAAGTGATTCTCCTGCTTCAGCCTTCTGAGTAGCTGGGATTATAGGTGTGTGCCATCACGCCTGGCTAATTTTTATACTTTTAGTAGAGATGGGGTTTCACAATGTTGTGCCACTGCATCCCAGCCTGGGCGACAGAGCAAGACTCTGTCTCAAAACAAACAAACAAAAAATAAAGTGTGTATTTTTTGACCTAATTAAGAAAAGCTCCCATGTAAAAAAATTTTCCAAAAACAGTCTTTCGAGTTTTTAAAGATATATGTATAAGGAGGTTCACTTCAGTGATATTGTAAAAGGAAAACAATGAACAAAACAGAGTACATCAAGAGGCTTGTTGAATGAATGATGGTGCATCTTATAGAAGAATAAGTCATTAAAATGTTGAAGACTTTTTTGTTTTGTTTTGTTTTTGTAGAGATAGGGTCTCGCTCTGTCCCCCAGGTTAGAGTGCAATGGCACAATCACGCCTCACTGCAGCCTCAAACTCCCAGGCTCAGGTGATCCTCCTGCGTCAACCTTGGTAGTAGCTGTGATTACTGGCACATCCCTCCATACCGGGCTAATTTTTGTATTTGTTTGTAGAGATGGGGTTTCACCATGTTGTCCTGGATCACGAGGTCAGGAGTTTGAGACCAGCCTGGCCAACATGGTGAAACTCTGTCTCTACCAAAAACACAAAAATTAGCTGGGCACCGTGGCGCATGCCTGTAGTCCCATCCACTGGGGAGGCCGAGACAGGAGAATTGCTTGAACCCGGGAGGCAGAGCTTGCAGTGAGCCGAGATCCGGCCACTGCACTCCAGCCTGGGTGACAGAGCGAGCCTCCGTCTCAAAAAACAAAAAAAAAGAAAGAAAAAAATAGTGCTCATCATATTCAGCAAAAAGCAAAAAGCAAGCAGTTGGTGGTCACAGTAAGAGCAGTTTTGGTATGAATAAATACGGTTTAAAAATGTTTTTCAAAAAAAAAAAAAACAAAACCCAAACATTTCTCAGGACTTTTGTGAGGACGAATTTTGTGTGGAGAAAACGGACAAATACATTTCCCCATATATGTAAATGCTCAAAAGTGCACTCAGGTGCTCTCACCAGGCAATTACCATGACAAGTGATCTTGTGTAAAAATACAGAGAATCTGGCTCGTTTTAAGAAGTGCAAGAGAAAAGCAAGGCCTTACAGTTTCTGAATTTGGTGTGTGTGTGTATGTGTGTGTGTGTGTGTGTGTGTGTGTGTGTGTGTGAAGATGTGGTCTCACTCTGAAGCGCAGACAGGAGTGCAGTGGCAAGATCGTAGCTCACCATGGCCTCAAACTCCTGGATTCAAGAAGTGATCGGTCGGGCGCTGTGGCTCACGCCTGTAATCCCAGCACTTTGGGAGGCCGAGGTGGGCGGATCACGAGGTCAGGAGATCCAGACCATCCTGGCTAACATGGTGAAATCACGTCTCTACTGCAAATACAAAAAATTAGCCGAGCGTGGTGGCCGGCGCCTGTAGTCCCAGCTACTTGGGAGGCTGAGGCAGGAGAATGGTGTGAACCCGGGAGGCGGAGCTTGCAATGAGCCGAGATCATGCCACTGCGCTCCAGTCTGGGCAACACAGCAAGACTCCATCTCAGAAAAAAAAAAAAAAGTGATTCTCCCGCCCCAGACTCCGGAGTAGCTAGGACTACAGGCATGCACCACTATGTCTAGCTTTTTTTTTTTTTTAGTTTTCTGTAAAGATGGGGTCTTGCTATGTTGTCCAGGATGGTCTCAAACTCCTGGGCTCAAGCGATCCTCCTGCTTTGGCCTCCCAACGTGCTGGCGATATAGGTATGAGCCAGGCCACATTGCTGAACTTGGAAAGTGGAGCAAAGAATCATACAAAAAATTAAGAAAACCAAAACGAAACCAAGGCGAACTCAATTGCATTTTTTTTTTTTTTCAGCGCGACACTTTGTAAGGCAGGAACCTCTCTCTTAGGCGGACCTATTCCAGGGCGCCCTTCATTTTCATTTCTTGAAACAACAGCCTCGCAGGCCAAGCCGCGGTTCCCGAGAACTCGGCTGCCACCCGGAGCAGGTTGCATGGACCCAGGAGCCCGAGCGGCCCTGCTCTGCCAGCTTCGGCCAATCAGAGGCCAGGCAGCGGTGGGCGTGGCGTGGGGCGGTGCGCGGGGTGGGCGGCGGCTGGGGCGCGTGCTCTCGCTTGGTCGCTGGGTCTGCGCCTTCCCGGGCCAGTGTGCTGAGGCCTCCGTGTCGCTGCTGCCGCCCGCGCCTAGCCTGCCGCGGCACTCCCGGCTGCAAGCTTTGCTTGGCCTCGCCATGCCGGTGGACCTCAGCAAGTGGTCCGGGCCCTTGAGCCTGCAAGAAGTGGACGAGCAACCGCAGCACCCGCTGCATGTCACCTACGCCGGGGCTGCGTTGGACGAGCTGGGCAAAGTGCTAACGCCCACTCAGGTACACCGGGCGGCGGGCGTGCAGCTAGCGGCCCGGCGCGGAGGCCTGTGCCGGCCGCCTGGGTGGGACCCAGCGGAGACAGGGCCAGGGGCGGTGGGGAGGTTCAGCCTGCGTGTGTCGTAGGCCCCCCAGGGCAGAGGTACCGGGGTCCGTGTCCCGTGCCTGGGGGCCACCTCGAGCACCGGGAACCTGGCCTGTGGCGTGGCCAGGCAGGTTCGGCCTGCAGCAGAAATTCATTCACTTTTCCCGGGCTTCGGGCCCAAGAGGGGCCTAGGTCCGGAAACAGGCCGGATCCCCCTCTCCCTCAACGGGGCAGGGCGCTGGAGAGGGACGTCCTCGAGACGGAGTAGACTGTGGCCGTTCGGACGCCCCCGCCCCAAGAGCTTCCCCTAGGGCGTCAGCATTTTAGGCCTCGTTTTGGAGGGCCGAGAGCCTGTGACGCATTATGTAACTGGCGATGAGCGCGCCGGCCGATTTCTCTTTTGTTAAATCGGTCGACAGCGTGCAGCCGGAACGCTGGAGGGCGACGGTTTAGTTTTGCTGTTTGACCTCCCACGCCCACGGCTGGGGCTGCTGAAAGTGAAGAAACTAGATTTGCAGACGCCACTGCTAGTTGGTTATGAAGCTCCAGGCAACAGTGTTAAATAAACTGTCCCGACCTTACATTGTTTTTGATGTTCACAGAATTTAAATTTTTTGGATATTTACATATGAAGTGGCCATCTAACACAGCCTCCCTTTCCCTGCCCCCCTCTTACCACCTTGGCTTTCTCCTTTTCTTTGCACGTTGAAATGTTAATGCAGTTTGAAACGTTGCATTTTGAAACGTTAATGCAGATTTCACTTTAGCAGGCCCCAGGTAGCCTCGTGATCACCAAATCCAGAAACCCTGTGATTCCGGACAGACAATGTAAGGGTGTCCTTGGGAGGGGGACTCAGTGCCAGGGTTGGAATCCCAGCCTCATCTGTTTCTGTTAATAGTGTGCTGGGACACTAGCCCCGTGGTGTTGTTGGGACTGAAATAATACACAGCCTGGGCAACATAGCAAGACCCCAACTCTAAAAAAAAAAATTGACCAGGCGTGATGGTGTGAGCCTGTAGTCCCAGCTACTCAGGAGGCTGAGGTGGGAGGATCGATTGAGTCCTCCCTGGAGGTTGAGGCTACAGTGAGCCTTGATAGCGTCACTACACTGCGGCCTGGAGGACAGAAGGAGACCTGGTCTCAAAATAAATAAATAAGATAAATGATGTACATAAAACTCCAGCTCCTGGCTCTTAGAGTCAATACAGGGTCGTTGATTTTATTAAAAATCTATTCTGTTTTGTCTTTGAAGAGTCTGAGATCAAAGAAAGAGTATCGGTTTCTTCAGGATTTCTCTTTTTTTTCGAGACAGAGTCTCACTTTGTCGCCCAGTGCAGTGGGGTGATCTTGGCTCACTGCAGCCTCTGCCTCCCCAGCTCAAGCGATCCTCCCACCACCTCGGCCTCCTGAGTAGCTGGGATTACAGGTGCCCGCCACCACACCCAGCTAATTTTTGTATTTTTAGTAGAGACGGGTTTCACCGTGTTGGCCAGGCTGGTCTCGAACCCCTGACCTCAAGTGATCCTCTCTTCTGGGCCTCCCAAAGTGCTGGGATTACAGGCGTGAGCCACCACACCCAGCCAGTTTCTTCAGCATTTCTGACTTTTTTACTCCAAACTGATTCCTTCATACAGGTTAAGAATAGACCCACCAGCATTTCGTGGGATGGTCTTGATTCAGGGAAGCTCTACACCTTGGTCCTGACAGACCCGGATGCTCCCAGCAGGAAGGATCCCAAATACAGGTGAGAGTTGGGAAAGAGGAGGAAGAGCAGGTCATGCAGGCATGGCTTATCGGGTGTAAGTCCCTTGCTGGACATGGAGAAGTAGACCTGGTTTGGGATCCCCTGACCCATGCTTAAGCCAGAGAATGCCTTTCCTGCCCTTTTGCCCCCTACAGCGGGTATGTGTAACTCACAGCCGAGAGCCATATCTACCTGTGGCTTGTTTTTGTACAGCCCCATGAGCTAAGAATGGTTTTTACATTTTTATTTTTTATTTTTTTGAGACAGAGTCTCAGTCAGTCACCCAGGCTGCAGTGCAGTGGCATGATCTTGGCTCACTGCAACCTCCACCTCCCGGGTTCAAGTGATTCTCATGCCTCAGCCTCCTGAGTAGCTGGAATTACAGGGACCCACCACCCTGCCTGGCTCATTTTTGTATTTTTAGTACAGACAGGGTTTCACCATGTTGGCCGGGCTGCTCTCGAACTCCTGACCTCAGGTGATCTGCCCGCCTCAGTCTCCCAAAGTGCTGGGATTACAGGTGTGAGCCACCGCGCCCGGCCTGGTTTTACCATTTTTAAATGAAAGAAGAATAGTACTTTCTGATGTGGAAATTATACAAAATTTGCGTGTCAGTGTCCATCAGTTATGTTTTATTGGAGCACAGCTATGTGTCATCTGTGGCTGCTTTCGTGCTGCCAAGGCCAAGTTGAATAGTTGCAGCAGAGACTGTGGCTCCCACAGCTTAACACATTTATTCTCTGGGCTTTTAATGGAAAGTTGCTGACCTTTGCTCTAGAAAAAGAGGGTGGGAGGGGCTGGGTCTGCTCTTCTGCAAACCCCTGAGGTTCGTGCCAGCCTCTGAGAAAGTGAGGACTATTGTTTGTGGCTGTGTTCTGGCACCCAGCATGTTCTCGATGCCCAGTTGCTGGCTGTGCAGTGAGTGTTCCTGATCTTCTGTGGTGCTGACCTCCTGTGTTTCTTCGTGCAGGGAATGGCATCATTTCCTGGTGGTCAACATGAAGGGCAATGACATCAGCAGTGGCACAGTCCTCTCCGATTATGTGGGCTCAGGGCCTCCCAAGGGCACAGGTTAGTAAAGGTTGTTTTTGGTGGGAGGTTGGGAGGGAGCTTGGGTGCACATTAGGATTGGCTCAGTGCTTTTTTCTTTTCTTTTCTTTTTTTTTTTTTTGAGACGGAGTCTCACTCTGTCACCCAGGCTGGAGTGCAGTGGCGCCATCTCGGCTCACTGCAAGCTCCACCTCCCGGGTTCATGCCATTCTGAAGCCTCAGCCTCCTGAGTAGCTGGGACTACAGGTGCCAGCCACCACGCCCGGCTAATTTTTGTATTTTTAGTTGACATGGGGTTTCACCATGTTAGCCAGGATGGTCTTGATCTCCTGACCTCATCGTCCGCCTGCCTTAGCTTCCCAAAGTGCAGGGATTACAGGCGTGAGCCGCCGCGCCTGGCCTTTTTTCTTTTGAGAGCCCTTAACCCTGCTGGAAATAGCATCTCAGCTCACCTGTAGGGCAGCTGCCTTCAGGGCACACATTCACACCTGCAGGAGTGTCAGGTGGCTAGAGCCTTGGGTTCTGGACAGATGGACCCTCTGTGTGGAGTGGCCTCTGCATCCCTAGCCCTTTAGCAAGCAGGGAAGTCGGTGAGAGGGAATCACTGTTGCGGAAAGCTTAGCATGGCCTTTTGGGGCTGCGCTGGGTGGAATACACAGTTAAACTATCTCAAGCCTTTGCCCGGGGTGATCTTTGAGTTGCTAATTCTATAAAAAATTTCAGAAATGATCAGTTTCCAAATTAACTATATAAGGTTGCCTTCTGCATTCATTTTTGCTCCCTCTTTCTGAAAAAGTCTAGCTTGGTATTTTTTTGTTGTTGTTGTTGTTGTTTTGAGACGGAGTCTTGCTCTGTCACCCAGGCTGGAGTGCAGTGGCCAGATCTCAGCTCACTGCAAGCTCCGCCTCCCGGGTTCACGCCATTCTCCTGCCTCAGCCTCCCGAGTAGCTGGGACTACAGGCGCCCGCCACCACGCCCAGCTAGTTTTTTGTATTTTTTTAGTAGAGACGGGGTTTCACCGTGTTAGCCAGGATGGTCTGGATCTCCTGACCTCGTGGTCCACCCGTCTCGGCCTCCCAAAGTGCTGAGATTACAGGCTTGAGCCACCGTGCCCGGCCTAGCTTGGTATATTGAAAAAAGATTTGGAAGACTTCAGCAGAACTATATTGAAGACACACACACACTCATTGTATTGTGTTGTATCGTGTTATAGCTATTACATATAAAATACATGTAGACATCTAGAGATAGAAAGAGAAAGACCACCATATTGAAACTTTGAGGTTGGGTAAGTGCTGCCTAAGCTGATGGTGAGAGAGGCATTCTTACTGCCTGGTGTTCAGTTCAGGATTTTCCATTTGGTGGAACTGTCACAATCCTAGCTTTCATACAGCTTATCCAGCCAGGAGTTAACATGAAGAGGTATAAGAACATCCCTGACATGGACAGTTGGTCGTGGGATCTTGTTTTCTCTGGAGACCGGGAAGCTTCAGATGCCTTTAAACTCTCTCACATATGCATAGTAGACGGTAAAGGGACAGATTTCCCAGGGACCTATTAAATTGTCTAGGGCAGTTATAAAATTAGGCAGCTTAATTATGGGAAGCTTACCCATGAGAATAAAGCAGTTCTCTCAAGTAAGAGCTGTGTTCTCATTTTTAAAAAAAGCCTCAGTAACTCATTTTCTTGTTGTTGCTTTTTCCATATTCTTGTAATATGGTATAATTTACATGTAACAAAATGCACAGATCGGAAGGGTTCAGTCAGCAAATGTGATCAATGCCTACACCCATGGAAGGTACCAGCCATTGGAAAGATAGATGACATTTCCATTACCCAACAAGTTCTCACGTGACCTTTTTACTTAAATTCCCCCAGAGCTAACCATATTCTGACTCCTGTCTCCATAAATCACTTTCACTATTCTTTTTCTTTTTCTTTTTTTCTGAGATGGAGTCTCGCTCTGTCTCCCAGGCTGTATTGCAATGGCTTGATCTCAGCTCACTGCAACCTCCACCTCCTGGGTGCAAATGATTCTCCTGCCTTAGCCTCCTAAGTAGCTGGGATGACAGGCACATGCCACCACGCCCAGCTAATTTTTGTATTTTTAGTATAGACGGGGTTTCTCCATGTTCCAGGCTGGTCTTGAACTCCTGACCTCAGATGATCTGCCCGGCTCGGCCTCCCAAAGTGCTGGGATTACAGGTGTGAGCCACCGTGCCTGGCCCGCCGTATATTCTTGTATGTATACATTCTTGTCATTTTGTAGGCAGGTGTTTCCATTTTTCTTGGGTGAATACTGAAGAGTAGAATTGTTAGTCATGGAAATTTCCCCAAGGTTCTCCAAATGGTTGAAAATGTTATACTCGGCCGGGCGCGGTGGCTCAAGCCTGTAATCCCAGCACTTTGGGAGGCCGAGACGGGCGGATCACAAGGTCAGGAGATCGAGACCAGCCTGACTAACACGGTGAAACCCTGTCTCTACTAAAAAAAATACAAAAAACTAGCCGGGCGAGGTGGTGGGCGCCTGTAGTCCCAGCTACTCGGGAGGCTGAGGCAGGAGAATGGCGTAGACCCGGGAAGCGGAGCTTGCAGTGAGCTGAGATCTGGCCACTGCACTCCAGCCTGGGTGACAGAGCAAGACTCCGTCTCAAAAAAAAAAAAAAAAAAAAGGAAATGTTATACTCTAGCTGCAGTGAGCTGTGATCACACCACTGCATTCGGGGCTTGGTGATAGAGATCCTGTCTTAAAGAAAAAAGAAAAAGAAAACTTTATACTCTGATCAGCAATATCTGAAAGTTTCAGTAGAGCATATAACATCCTTGTAGCTCCATGCCAGCATTAGGTGTTGTCAGTCTTTTTTTTTTTCTTTTTGAGACAAGAGTCTCGCTGTGTCGCCCAGGCTGGAGTGCAGTGGCGTCATCTCAGCTCACTTCAAGTTCCGCCTCCCGGGTTTATGCCATTTTCCTGCCTCAGCCTCCCGAGTAGCTGGGGCTATAGGTACCCAGCACCGTGCCCGGCTAATTTTTTATATTTTTAGTAGAGACAAGATTTCACTGTGTTAGCCAGGATGGTCTTGATCTCCTGACCTCGTGATCTGCCCGCCTTGGCCTCCCAAAGTGCTGGGATTACAGGTGTGAGCCACCATGCCCAGCCTGGTCTTTTTGACTTTAAACACTTAAGTGAGTGTAAAATGGTGCCATTTAGGCCAAGCGCGGTGGCTCACACCTGTAATCCCAGCACTTCAGGAGGCCGAAGTGGGTGAATAATGAGGTCAGGAGATCGAGACCATCCTGGCTAACACGGTGAAACCCTGTCTCTACTAAAAATACAAAAAATTAGCCGGCCATGGTGGCGGGTGCCTGTAATCCCAGCTACTCAGGAGGCTGAGGCATAGAATGGTGTGACCAGGGAGGCGGAACTTGAAGTGAGCTAAGATCGCGCCACTGCACTCCAGCCTGGGCGACAGAATGAGAGTCCTTCTCAAAAAAAAAAAAAGCCATTTTGTGGTTTTACTGTTCATCACCCTGATGACTAATGAGGTTTTAATGTCCTTATGGCCATTCTTGTTTTGTAACTTGCTTTACTTGCTTTTTGAAAGCTATTTTTTTTAACTCTCATAAAAACATATAAAATTTACCATCTTTTTGTTTGTTTGGTTGGTTTTTGAGACAGTTTCAGTCTTACTGCCCAGGCTGGAGTGCAGTGGCGCTGTCTCGGCTCACCACAACCTCCGCCTCCCAGGTTCAAGCAATTCTCCTGCCTCAGCCTCCCGAGTAGCCGGGATTACAGGCACGTACCACCACGCCCGGCTAATTTTGTATTTTTAGTAGAGACGGGGTTTCTCCATGTTGGTCAGGCTGGTCTCAAACTCCTGACCTCAGGTGATCCGCCCGCCTTCGCCTCCCAAAATGCTGGGATTACAGGCAAGAGCCACCATGCCTGGCAAAATTTACCATCTTAACCCTTTTTTTGAGGCTGGAGTGCAGTGGTGTGATCCCAGCTCACTTCAGCCTCCACCTCCCAGGTTCAAGTGATCTTCCCACCTCTGCCTCTTGAGTAGCTAGGATTAGAGGCACGCGCCACCATGCCTGGCTAATTTTTGTATTTTTAGTAGAGACGGGGTTTCACCATCTTGGCCAAGCTGGTCTCAAATTCCTGACAAGTGATCCACCTGCCTTAGCCTCTCAAAGTGCTGGGATTATGGCGTGAGCCACCGCACCCCCTCCATCCTAACCATTTTTAAGTGTACACTGCAGTAGTGTTAACTACATTCACACAGGGTTTTTTTTTTTTTTTTTTTTGGAGATAGGGTCTTACTCTGTCCCCTAGGCTGGAGCGCAGTGGCATGTTTTCAGCTCACTGCAGGGCTCAGCTCACCTCCTGGGCTCAGGCAACCCTCCCACCTCAGGCTCCCGAGAAGCTGGGACCACAGGCACAGGCTGCCACATCTAGTGAATTTTTCTATTTCTGGTAGAGATGGGGTTTCACCATATTGCCCAAGCTGGTTTCAAATTCCTCCTGCTGGGCTCAGGCGACCCTCCCATCCTGGCCTCCCAAAGTGCTGGGATTATAGGCCTGAGCTACCGTGCCTGGCCACTGCATTCACATTGTTGTGGAACAGATCTCTAGATTTTTCATCTTCCCCAACAGAAACCCTGTCCCCATTGAACAACAGCTCCCCACTTCCCTTCCCCTAGCCCTGGCAGCCATCATTCCGCTTTCTGTTGCAGTGTTTGTCTATTTTAGATACCTCGTGGAATTGTACAGTATTTGTCTTGTGACTGGCTAATTTCACTAATGTAATGTTCTCAGGGTTCTTCTCTGGTGTAGCATGTGTCTGAATTTCTTTTTAAAGCTGAATAGTCCTAGAGTAACACAGAGGAGTAAAGAAAAAATAAAAGGCTGGATAATATTCTGTTGTGTGTATAAACCACATTCTGATCATCCGTTCACCCATCAGTGGACAGTCGAGTTGCTTCTGCTTCTTGGCTATTGTGAATACTGCTGCATTGAACATCGGTGTGCAAATATTTAAAGAACTTTTTTAAAAATAACTTTTTTGGCCAGGTGTGGTGGCTCAAGCCTGTAATCCCAGCACTTTGGGAGGCCGAGGTGGGCGGATCATGAGGTCAGGAGATTGAGACCATCCTGGCTAACACGGTGAAACCCCATCTCTACTAAAAATACAAAAAATTAGCCGGGTGAGGTGGCGGGCGCCTGTAGTCCCAGCTACTTGGGAGGCTGAGGCAGGAGAATGGTGCGAACCCGGGAGGCGGAGCTTGCAGTGAGCCAAGATCACGCCACTGCACTCCAGCCTGGGCAAGACCCTGTCTCAAAAAAAAAACGCCACTGCACTCCAGCCTGGCAAGACCTGTCTCAAAAAAAAATAACCGGCCGGGCGCGTGGCTCACGCCTGTAATCCCAGCACTTTGGGAGGCTGAGGTGGCGGATCACGAGGTCAGGAGATCGAGACCATCCTGGCTAACACGGTGAAACCCCGTCTCTACTAAAAAATACAAAAAACTAGCCGGGTGAGGTGGCAGGCGCCTGTGGTCCCAGCTACTCGGGGGGCTGAGGCAGGAGAATGACGGGAACCCGGGAAGCGGAGCTTGCAGTGAGCTGAGATCCGGCCACTGCACTCCAGCCTGGGTGACAGAGCGAGACTCCGTCTCAAAAAAAAAAAAAAAAAAATTAATAATAATAATAAAAAAATTTTTTTCTGGCTGGGGCAGTGGCTCACAGCTGTAATCCCAGCACTTTGGTAGGCTTAGGTAGGCAGATCACTTGAGGTCAGGAGTTTCGCCAACATGGTGAAACCTGGTCTCTACTAAAAATATTAAAAAAAAAAAAAAAATTAGCTGGGCGTGGTGGTGCATACCTGTAATCCCAGCTACTCAGGAGACTGAGGCAGGAGAATCGCTTGAACCTGGGAGGCTGAGGTTGCAGTGAGCCAAGATCATGCCACTGCACTCCACACCTAGGCAACAGAGTGAGACTCCATCTCAAAAAAAAACAAAAACAAAACCCACTTTAAAAAAAAACAAAACCTACTTTTTACAAAAAAAGCTCATGGTACCTATTTGCATCCAGTATATCACTGAAGCTTGTAGAAAGCTGCTTAGTTAAAGTGAGTTTGGGTCACGTCAAAGTAGGTCTCCAGTTTTCTAAGGAAGTAAGTTTTGGAGATAGAAAGAAAATGTTCTCATTTATTCTGGAGGCTCGATTGTGTTATGGTGGGCCCTAGTCATTGATTTGCTTTGTCCTTAATTGGGTTCTCATACCTGACAGAAGTGAAACAGGTGTTCTGATCGGAGGTGGTGGGTGGTGACTTGAGATTGGCTGGGAGCCTGAAGTGGGGTGAATGAAGAGCACAAGGCCTCGTGGGAGGCGAGGATAAGGGGGTGCAGAGGCCAGATCCCACAGGCCAGGAGAGGCTGGAACTAAGGGCTTGGGCTTGACAAGTTACAGCAGGGGCCTAACACATTCTATTAGGTTGATGGCAAAAGTAATTGCGGTTTTTGCCATTAATATGTTAATTGCCATTAAATGTTAATTTGTACCAAATACCTGTCTGGACCCTCCGTATCCTCCTTGTAAATGGTGTGGTCTGGGTGCCTCCATGTTGAAACATTCGATAAAAACCAGTGATGTCCCCATCTCAAGTGCTGGGCTATGTGTATATCTTCCCTCTGCCTCTCCCCACAGGCCTCCACCGCTATGTCTGGCTGGTTTACGAGCAGGCCAGGCCGCTAAAGTGTGACGAGCCCATCCTCAGCAACCGATCTGGAGACCACCGTGGCAAATTCAAAGTGGCGTCCTTCCGTAAAAAGTACGAGCTCGGGGCCCCGGTGGCCGGCGCGTGTTACCAGGCCGAGTGGGACGACTATGTGCCCAAACTGTACGAGCAGCTGTCTGGGAAGTAGGGGGTTAGCTTGGGGATCTGAAGTGTCCTGGAGGCCCCAATCCCTGTTCCCTAGTTCAGTGTTGCATGTATAATAGATTTCTCCTCTTCCTGCCCCCCTTGGCACAGACACCTGACCAGTCGGATGGTGTTTGAGGGTGACTTTTCCTGCTGCCTGACCTTTCTAATTTTACTCACTCTGATTTATGTTTTGATCAAATTTGAACTTCATTTTGGGGGATATGTTGGTACTATGATGGGGTCATCAAATTGTTCATCTGAAAATAGCAACCCAGAATGTAAAAAAGAAAAAATCGGGGAGTGGGGGAAGACCAGTTCTACAGTGACAGAGCAAAGCGTCAAATAATCTTTAAGGGAAGTTAAAAAAAAAAAAAAAAAGATTGGTTGCCTCTGCCTTTGTGAACCTGAGTCCAGAATGGTACACGATGTGTTTTTATGGTGATGTCGCTCACCTAGACAAGCAGAGGCTGGCATTGAGGCTGGCCCCCAACATGGTACATCTCAGATGCCTCGACAGGCATCAGCATGTCGCTGTGCCCCCTTTAAAGAGCAGTCCTGGGAGAGGCAGGAGGAGGAGTGGCTTTGCTGCCGTTGGGACGTGGCCATCGAGACCAGCAGCAGCGCTCGCTGACAGCTTAGGAGGAATCCTTACATCTTTGTCTGTTAAATTGATCGTTCTTCATGGGGGTCAGAAAAGCTGGTCTGGAATTGCTGAATGTTGCATTAATTGTGCTGTTTGCTTATAGTTGAATAAAAATAGAAACCTGAATGGAGGAACCGAGTCCCCGGATGTTTTGTCCTATTGGGTGTGGGTTTCATAAGCCTGGGAAGTCAAAGTCTCTCAGGGTGAGTCGTCTCCGTGACCAGCAAGTAATGGCTGGGACTTGTTTCAGGGGCCGTACAGAGGGTCCGTGCCTCTACATGTGCCATTAACCCACAGTAGGAGCAAACCGTTAGACTTGAGGTTTCTAAAAAAAAAAATCGTAAAACGTGAGGCCGAGTCGTCTTGCCCAAAAAGCACCTTTGCTTCAAGTGGTCCTTTTGACCTGAGTAGGATGTTCTGAAGAAGCCGGCTGGAAACCTTCCCGCTCGGTGAAGTCTGGTGCGGACACTGTAACAATGCCTAAGAAGTAGCCTGCACTTTCCGTTCTTGTGTGTTATCCACAGAGGATCAGCACCAAAGAGGTGCGCAGGGTAGGGGGGTGAGAAGGTCACGGTCTCATGCCATCTGATGTACCAAAAGAAAGGAAAGGAGGTGTTTGAAGGTGCAAATCACTGATTTGGTCTCTGCAATGGAAAGGGGGGATCCTGAATCAGGCCTGACAGGCGCTAATGACTGGCCCTTCCCCATCTTTCACGGCAGTACTTTTTTTTTCTGAAAAAACTTGGAAATGTTGCCTCGCTGGAAGCACATAAGGTAGATATAAGTTTTCTTGTTTTTTTATTTTTTTGAGATGGAGTCTTGCCCTGTCACCCAGGCCGATCTCGGCTCACCGCAACCTCCACCTCCTGGGTGGGTTCAAGTGATTCTCCTGCCTCAGCCTCCTGAGTAGCTGGGATTACAGGCATGTGCCACCATGCCCAGCTAATTTTGTATTTTTAGTAGAAAAGGGGTTTTGCCATGTTGGCCAGGCGACTCTCGAACTCCTGACCTCCTGACCTGCTTTGGCCTTCGAAAGTGCTGGGATTACAGGTGTGAGCCACCATTGCAAGCCTGGAAGTTTTTTCTTTTTTTTTTTGACTTTAGAGTTTTAAAATTCATTTTTTACATAATAAGATTTTGCTGAACACAAGTTATAAAGAAAACAACTGTCGGCCGGGCGCCGTGGCTCACGCGTGTTATCCGAGCACTTCGAGAGGCCGAGGTGGGTGGATCAACTGAGGTCAGGAGTTCAAGACCAGCCTGGCCAACATGGTAAAAAACTGTCTCTACTAAAAATACAAACATTAGCTGGACTTGGTGGTGGATGCTTGTAATCCCAGCTACTGAGGAGGCTGAGGCAGGAGAATCACTTAGGTCAGGGGGTCAAGGCTGCAGTGAGCTGTGATTGCACCACTGCACTCCATCCTGGGCAACAGAGCAAGAGCCTATCTAAAAAAAAAAAAAAAAAGTAACGTGTAGTAGACAAGTTGTGCGCTATAGGAAGAAAATGTCTCCTACCTTCCATTTAGTTATTGATAAATAAAAATATATGTGTCAGCATATATCTACATATTTATTCTAAAAAATAAGTCTTACTCTACATACTGGCATACGTTGTTCTGCCTTTTTTTTTTTTTTTTCCCCAAACTAATGAATCTTCAGTTAACAAGTCACCACAAATGTTTTGTTTTGTTTGTTTTGAAACGGAGTCTCGCTCTGTCACTGAGGCTGGAGTGCAATGGCACGATCTCGGCTCACTGCAACCTCCACCTCCTGGGTTCAAACAATTCTCCTACAGGCTTGCACCACCATGCCTGGCTAATTTGTTTTGTATTTTTAATAGGGTTTTGCCATGTTGGCCAGGCTGGCTTAGAACTCCTGACCTAAAGTGATCTGCCCGCCTGGGCCTCCCAAAGTGCTGGGATTACAGGTGTGAGTCACTGCACCTGGCATTCACCACAAATGTTATTTGAAGCAAATATTTGATCTTATATATGTTCTATGATGTATTTAACCAGCCCCCTTGGGTGATAGGTTATTTCTGGTTGTTTGCTATTATAAACAGTGCTTCAGTGACCATTTATATGTATACAATGCTTTTTCAAGTAATTTTGTAGGGTGAATTCCAAGTATTGAAATAATTAGGTCAAAGGATATATACATTTTCAGTTTTTTTTTTTGTTTGTTTGAGATGGGGTCTCTTTCTGTTGCTCAGGCTGGAGTGCAGTGGCTCACAGCTCACTGCAGCCTCTGCTTCCTGGGCTCAGGGGATCCTCCCACCTCAGCCACCCAAATAGCTGGGACTACAGGTCTGTGCCACCATATACAGTTCATTTTTTTTTTTTTTTTTTAGTAGATATGGGCTCTCCCTGTGTTGCCCAGGCTCATTTTCAATTCTGATACTGAGAAACCATTCTTCGCAGAGATCACACTGATTATATTCATGTCAGTGGCGTATGAAAGTACCTACTTTTGGCCGGGCGAGGTGGCTCACGCCTGTAATCCCAGCACTTTGGGAGGCTGAGGCAGGTAGATCACCTGAGGTCAGGAGCTCGAGACCAGCTTGACCAATATGATAAAACCTGTCTCTACTAAAAATACAGAAATTGGCCAGGCGTGGTGGCGGGCACCTGTAATTTGGGCGCAATTTGGGAGCCTGAGGCGAGTGGATCACAAGGTCAGGAGATCGAGACCATCCTGGCTAACACCGAGAAACCCCATCTCTACTAAAAATACAAAAAATTAGCCGGGCGTGGTGGCGGGCGCCTGTAGTCCCAGCTACTCGAGAGGCTGAAGCAGGAGAATGGCATGAACTCGGGAGGTGGAGCTTGGCAGTGAGCCGAGATGGCGCCACTGTACCCCAGCCTGGGTGACAGAGCGAGACTCCATCTCAAAAAAAAATAAGTACCTACATTTTCATACTCTTATCAGTCTTCTCATTTTGACAATTTGATATTTACGCATATTTAAAATCATATAGGTTTTCTCTAAACTTCTGTTTTAATGAGACATTTTGATAACCACAAGTCCTTTTTCAAAGTCTGCAGATTAATGAGGAACTATAATGATCTGTTAGTTTCCTTGTCTAAAACAGGTACAGACTCAAATGATTCAGAATAAGGTGAACAAACCAACCAAAGAAGGTAAAATAAATGCAAAAGAAATTAACATAAAAAGAAAAAATCTACCAATACTGGCCCGGCGTGGTGACTCACACCTGTAATCCCAGCACTTTGGGAAGCTGAGGCAAGTGGATCACTTGAGGCCAGGAGTTCAAGACCAGTCTGGCCAACATGGTGAAACCCCATCTCTACTAAAAATACAAAACTTAGCCTGGCATGGTGGTGGGCGCCTGTAATTCCAGCTACGTGGGAGGCAGAGGCAGAATTGCTTAAACCTGGGAGGTGGAGGTTGCAGTGAGCCAAGATCGCGTCACTGCACTCCAACCTGGGTGACAGAGTGAGACTCCATCTAAAAAAAAAAAAAGAAAAAAACATTAATACTAACATGGTACTAAAGAGAAAAAAATACATATATATGAGAAGGCAATAGTCATCTTAGGAAGAAGGGTGATGCCATGTTTTCCCTTCTTCAACTGGTGTGTGATGCGAACTTGCCCAAGGGTGGCTAGGAAGTGGGTGGCCGCCATTCTGAACTCAGCTCTGTCCAGCTCATAACCACCGGGCCCACTGGGTCACCAAGTCCAGCTTCCTCATTTGAAAAGAAAATCAGGGTTGCAGGGGGTTGTCAGCCTGCCTTATTTATCTCACAGGGTTGTTGGAGGACAAAATCATCTTTTGTTGGGATTAATAGTTAATGTATGTAAATGACTAAACTTGGCCTGATTGTCATATAAGAATAAAGTACAAAAGCCCAGTTTCCTCAGGCCTGTTTCCTTACTGCAGCCTCCACCTCCTGGGTTCAAGCGATTCTCCTGCCTCAGCCTTCCTAGTCCCCCTGCCTTCCTTACTGCCTCCTCAGGCAGGTACTAGGAGGAGTTGGACAACTCTGTCCATAGCAGGTGTTAGGAGCAGGGACCCACATCCCTGTTTCCTGGCAACTGCCCTGGGACACATCCCTGACAACTGTGCAGTGGGACCTTTTTTTTTTTTTTGAAACCGAGTCTCGCTCTGTTGCCCAGGCTGGAGTGCAGTGCTACAATCTTGGCTCACTGCAATCTCCGCCTCCCGGGTTCAAGCAATTCTCCTATCTCAGCCTCCCGAGTAGCTGGGATTATAGGCACCCACCACCACGCCCGGCTGATTTTTATATTTTTAGTAGAGACAGGGTTTCACCATGTTGGCCAGGCTGGTCTCAAACTCCTGACCCCAGGTGATCCACCCACCTCGGTCTCCCAAAGTGCTGGGATTCCAGCTGTGAGCCACCGAGACCTTTGCTAAAGATAACACCTGCAATCTCAGACACAGGGCCCTTTCCCAAACTAGCTAGACTTTTTCACCACAGTGAGAAATGGATGAAATAGGCTACAGGAAGCTTTCCTACCCTACCAAAGATGGAATACCCCTTTGGATATAGATCAGACAGGTCTCGATTCAGATCCCACCCCGCCACTTACTCTGGTGTGAGCTTATTTCTTCATCTGTGAAATCCTAGTGTTCTGTCACGTGGCAAGCGTAAGCACGCCATCCATGGTATCTGTTTCTCTTCATTACATGTCTTCTTTCTAGCCCTTTCCAGTATTATTTTCAGATGTACCTAATATAGAAACTCCAATGAACAGAGCTATTTAGGAAACACAATTATCACTGAGTGTGAGTTACAAAAGGTTTTACGGTTGGGATTAACCCATGTTGGTAATTATTTTTTAATTTTATGAGTATACCTTTCTGCTTTAGCTTATCATTGTGAACATGACTGGTCACATTTGTCTCTGACACATGAACATCCTGTAGGAAACAAGAATGATCTTCAGGTCATCGTACTTCTTTTTTTTTCAGATGGAGTTTCACTCTTGTTGCCTGGGCTGATGTGCAATGGCACGATCTTGGCTCGCTGCAGCCTCTGCCTCCCGGGTTCAAGCGATTCTCCAGTCTCAGCCTCCCAAGTAGCTGGGACTACAGGCACCCATCACCACACCCAGCTTATTTTTTGTATTTTTAGTAGAGACGGGGTTTCACCATGTTGGCCAGGCTGGTCTTGAACTCCTGACCTCAGGTGATCCACCCGCCTCGGCCTCCCAAAGTGCTGGGCCCATCCCAGGTCATCTTATTCTAAAGAGCAATTGCCAGGGGTGTCCAAGGGAGAGAACACAGTCATGGGTTCTTAGCTTCTGTTTCTGGTTGGGCCAGTAAAGCCCCTTCCTCATCCCCCTTTTCCATGTATCGCTAGACACAGAAACCAAAAACCATAGCCTCAGGCTGCCAAAAGCCTAAAACAAAACACAGTAACAACAAAACAAGGTGGGTTGGACAAGCCTGATACAGCCTTAAGCATATGGGATCTTACTGAGATTGTCCTGACCCCCAAATCATATCCCTGAAATTTTGTATTTTTTACTATCTCATTGTTTTACATGTAAAATTATTCTAATAAAAGCAGAATATGAGGGGAGGCGGGGTCTAATATTACATGGGATCATTTCAAATATTTGGTTATGGTGCCTTCTCCACAGCCTGCTTTCCTTTAAGGGTGCCCAATTTCTCTCTTCAGCAATGCATGCTTCTATGCACGACTGGCACGTGGGGGGGTTTTTTGTGTGTGTGTATGTGTGTGCGGATGCCTTCTATTCTTTAGGACACAAAGGTGCCGTTGACTGTGAGCCCACACTGAATGGTGCAATGCTATCTTCGGCCCCATAGAAGAACTTGGAAGACGCAGCTTTACCTGAAAGTCTTGAATGGCTCCTTTTTGACTCACCGAGGCTGTGGAGAACAGTTTCAGGTGGGTGGCTGTCCCTCTGAATTGTGCACTGGTGAACCTAGAAGGGAAACCTCCTGCTACAATAACACAGCAAGGCGATGTGATGAACACTTTTATTTACAAATATAATTAAAAGCTCTGACAGTTATCATGCTCTTCCTTGGAACCTGAAAAATGTTTTGTTTTGTTTTTAAAGTGCATGCAAAAGAAGTAAAGCCTTTTTTTTTTTTCATCATTTTTTATTGTAAGAAAATACACAGTTTGAAAGTGTGAATAATGCAATATTTATGACCAAGAAATGGGACTTAGGAAGGGGAAGGGAAGTAAAGAAAAAGATCAAGATGATCTGATTGAGAGACAGTGTTGAACTCCAAATACTGAATTGGAAAAGGAGGGAGGTGGGGAGGAACAGGAGGAGGAAGTAAAAAAATTTGATCAGAGAAACAGTTAAAATACAATATGAAAATAAGTAATACCTCTCCTTAAATTCCTTCTATACACAAAATACACGATTTGCCAAAGCCCAATTTGTGCTACTGGGATTCTGTGAGCTCCTTTAAGTGTATTCACATCCTCTGCAACAGCAGAAAATGATTATGATACAATCAGAATATGCTGAAGACAAGTTAAACTCTTGCCAGCAGGTTCTTAAAAATCACAAGATCTCTTCACCCCACCCACCCCCCATCCCCCAAAAAGTAATAATATGTCACCACTGATATGTACATCACAATTAGTTTCTGTAAAATGTATCAAATTTTCAATCTTTAATAAAACTTTGTTTTTTTTTTATTCCTGATGAATAAATACCAAAAAAATAAAATAAAATAAAATAATGCAGCAGCTAGTTAAGGTGTAAGGCTGCGGATATTGTGTCTCTCTCCCCCTTGGCATTTATTATTTTTTTTTTTTTTGCTTTACTTTCACAGATTGGTGGTAATGAGTGATTGCTTAAAGCAATATACATCCACTTTTTTTGTTCTTGGTTTATTGGTTTTGTTAAAACTGTCTCCAAAGTTTTCACTGAAACATTTTGAATCACATCAATACTGTGACGTGTACTATGAATAGAAGAGACGGCCAGGTTTTGGCCAGCACTGAAAGTTGACACGGGGGGAGGAAGGGGGCCCCTGATGGAGTAAGAATAAACAGGCACTAGTCCGACACGATGTCAGTAAGAGTAAGAGAGAGAGAGAGTGAGAGCAACGCCCGTTAAAATGGGGAATGTGGTTTTGCAGGGTCTGAATTTTTTTCTGTTTTCTTTTTTTTTTTTTTTGTAAATGGCAAAAAATTTAATCTCATCTATAGTCCTCCTTAGGAAAATCTAATGTAACCAAATTCCCAAATCCCATTCTGAGGCTCTCCATGTCAAAAGTTTCAATCTCTCGCTCTTGCCTTTCCAATAGGTTCTTTATTCTCTCGCTGCGTTCCTTCTGAAGGGCAGCCAGCTCCTCTTCAATCTGAAACAAGCACAATGCAGTTCTTAATGGAAAGCATCTCCTAACAGGCACCCACATGACGTGCACACACATATAGGCACTAAGTGCACACACACACAGGAACTAAGGGAGGACCGAGGAAGGCTGGCCGAGTCCTGTGATCAATGCATCTAAATCATTATATTTAAAACTTGCTCACAAGAATAAAAATGTTTGGGGTCCACCTGGGGCTGGCAATGCCATTCTAGCAAGCCCAGCAGCTGGGCGGATCTAGGTCAGTCCTGTGTGAGGGGATGACTCAGGAGAAGCTAAAAGACACTCAAGCACAATTGGATTGTGCTGCTTTCCCACAGAGAGCCAAATGCCTCCTGGGTCATTAGTAATTTAGTTCTAGAACAGGAGCTGGGAAAATAGTCTGTTACGTTGGTCTCAGGGAACTACTGGAAGAAAGTGCAAATAACTGGTTAAGCAAATAAATGCTTAACAGCTTTGAGATGCCTTATGAAATCTTTTCTACTTCATATTCCTCAGAATATCTAAAGCAATGCATATTTCAGTTGGGATAACATTTATTATGCATGGCAATATCAGCCTATCATCATTTTAATTTTTTTTTTAAAGAGCCCTGCTGGTGATTTCTCTCGGTTTAAAAATAGCTGAAAAGTCAAATCTATTATACATTTGGCTTCCTCGTGCCATTTGGCAGCCCTGCTATCAGCTCACAGTACCTTTCAGGTGTCACATCAATCCCCCCCAGCAACCTACGTCATTCCTCTGGCTGGCAACGCTGAGGGTTTCCTAGCAGAGTAGCAGGAAGACTTAGGATGTGGGGTCAGACATGCGTGCCTTGGTGTTTCGGCCTGCAGAATGGGAACAATGCCTACCTCGCAAGGGTACCAGTAGCATAAAGCAGATAAGTGGAAAGTGCCCAGTTTAATCTCCAACTAAGGAAGGCTGCATATATGGCAGTTCCCTCAGCCACGCCCCCTTCCACCCAGTGGCATGGGACCCCCGGCAATGCTCTCATACCTTCTGCTCAAGATGTGCTCTGCGCAGAGACACCCTCTGCTCTAGCTTCTGGAGCTCACGTTCATGTTGTGCCTCTGTTTGCATCTTGATTTTGCTCTGGTAGGCGTTGAGCAGCTCCATTTCCTGCTGGAGCTGTAGCCTCAAGGCCTGGCATTCTGCTTCTTGAGCCTCATCTAGCCGTAACTGTGGGCACAGAAGACACACACGGTCATGCACCCTTGCCTACAGCCCTTGGTGACCTACAGCCCCTGGTGACTACTGGAAGAGGCTTCCTCACTTGGATTGAAACTGGTTCCCCACTCAAAAACAGAGATGCTCTGGGTACATTCAGAGTTAGGAATCAAAAACAGTCAAGTCTGCCCAATGGGCTACAACGTACCAAACACATTCTTTTCAGTGCGGTCTGAAACCACAGCAGCAGGTGTCAGGAGGGTTACAACTGTGGGCTTTGGAGGTAGGCTCCTGGGCTTGAATTATAGCTATACCATCCACTTGTGTGTGTTACACCTTGGCACATTACCTGCCTCTCTAGATCTCATGTGTTTCATCCTCAAGAAAATAACAAGAATAGTTCCTATTGTCTGAGATTGGCGGGAAGATTAAATGAAAGAATTCATATAAAATCCTAGGCACGGTTCTCAATGCATTACAAGTGTTCAAGAAATAGTAGCAGTTATCATTATTTTGGTTTCAACTGATCATGTCCTTATTTCAAGATCTTTAACCCTAAAATCATTTAGATATGCTTAACTCTAAAAAAATGAATCAAATTTCCATAAAACTTGAGGGATATACCACAGTACTGTTATGCTCCAAGTAGTAATGTTGGCACCTATTGTCGGCTATAAAAGTTACCTTGCTACCCAGTCAATCCAAAACTCCAAGTGGTTCAAAATCTCTTCCCTGGCTGGTGGCTCACCTCTGTTATCTCACTGCTTTGGGAGGCCAGGGTGTGAGGATTGCATGAGGCCTGGCGTTCAATACTAGCCTAGGCAATATTGTGAGAGCCCCATCTATACAAAGATTTTTTTAAAAACTAGCCAGGCATGGTGGCATGTGCCTGTAGTCCCAGCTACTTTGGGAGGCTGAGGCAGAAGAATCTCTTGAACCCAGGAGTTTGAGGCTGCAGTGGGCTATGATCACATCACTGCACTCCAGCTTGGGAGATAGACTTTGTCTCATAAAAAGAAAAAATCTTTTCCCCATAGAGGTTAGGTACCCTTGATAATTTTAAGAGGCATAACTGCTTTGAAGCAATGCCTGAACTTTGTCTTATACAAGATACCCAGATCCTGCGTGGAGAATGAACCAAGTAGAAGTGCCAACTTCTCAAAGCAGAGTTGAAGGCTTCGGACCATCAGCAGAACAGTGTTTAGGAATGATGACCCCTGGTCACAGGCTTGGTTTGGTCCAATTTTGGCAGGCCCTCAGTTTGGCTGAGAACTGAGATTAGAACCCTTGAATCAGTCCATCTACCCTGAGCTTATCTGTGTTTCCATATTGACCACTTTTCCAAGATACTTATTCTCCACCTTATGTACAGTTTGTGACAATATACATATCTTGATTGAAAAATTACTTTTTGAAATGTTATATTAAAACAGTTTTAGAGGGGCCGGGCGTGGTGACTCAAGCCTGTAATTCCAGCACTTTGGGAGGCCGAGGCTGGCGGATCATGAGGTCAGGAGATCGAGACCATCCCGGCTAACATGGTGAAACCCCATCTCTACTAAAAATACAAAGAATTAGCCGGGTGTGCTGGCAGGTGCCTGTAGTCCCATCTACTCGGGAGGCTGAGGCAGGAGAATGGTGTGAACCTGGGAGGCGGAGCTTGCAGTGAGCCCAGATAGTGACAGTGCACTCCAGCCTGGGCGACAGAGCGAGACTCTGCCTCAAAAAAAAAAAAAGAAAAAAAAAGAAAATAGTTTTAGATAGTTATTTGCATGTGTCTTCTTTTAATACTTCTGGAGAAACATACTATAGAGATTAAAGGAACATAAAATAAATTATGTAATATTTCCAAGGTACCGTCTAAAAATTAATCCTAACCAGGTTTCATTAAAACCCTTAAAGAGGACAGATAGTTCTCATTTTCCCAGTAAGGAATGAAGGGATAAGAGACATTAGACACAATACATAGTCTTTGGCAGGAACAGACTCACAGGTAAATGCCAAAGGATTTACTGGCTCCCAGTGAGGGCTGTTATTGATTCCCTCTTGATATGGGAGGTTCCTTATCAGTAAAGGAAGTGGAAGTCCTATTCCACTTGTCTGCATTAGTTGCTGTACGCCCCGGCTAAGTGGGTGAGAGGTTCATTCTATGGTCAGTTTAGACCATCAAAACATCTTTTTTTTTTTTTTTTTTTTTTGAGACGGGGTCTCGCTCTGTCGCCCAGGCTGGAGTGCAGTGGCCGGATCTCAGCTCACTGCAAGCTCCGCCTCCCGGGTTCATGCCATTCTCCTGCCTCAGCCTCCTGAGTAGCTGGGACTACAGCCGCCCGCCACCTTGCCCGGCTAGATTTTTTGTAGTTTTAGTAGAGACGGGGTTTCACCGTGTTAGCCAGGATGTCTCGATCTTCTGACCTCGTGATCCGCCCGTCTCGGCCTCCCAAAGTGCTGGGATTACAGGCTTGAGCCACCGCGCCCGGCCTAAAACATCTTTAAACATTTAGAACATCTCCATTTCCTTTTATTTCTGGCATGCTATTATTATTATCAGTAACTGGTACCATTGTTCTGTACCAGCTCTGACTCTGACGGCCCAGTGCTAGAAATCAGATATTCCAGGATTTAGTATTTATCACCCAAGGTTACACACATCAAATCCATTAAAAAGTTGTTTTTCCTTGGTTTTTGAGACAGTCTCACTCTGTTGCCCAGGCTGAGTGCAGTGGTGTGATCTCAGCTCACTGCAACCTCTGCCTCCCAGGTTCAAGTGATTCTCCTGCCTCAGCCTCCTGAGTAGGATTACAGGTAAGTGCTACCAGGCCCAGCTAAATTTTTGTATTTTTAATAGAGATAGTATTTCACCATGTTGGCCAGGCTGGTCTCAAACTCCTGAACTCAGGTGATCCGCCTGCCTCGGCCTCCCAAAATACTGGGATTATAGGTGTGAGCCACTGTGCCTGGCTCCATTAAAAAGTTTTATAAGAGTATAGGTAAATATGTCTATTCTTTACAGTGGCTTACACTGAGGAAAAAAGATACGATAAGAGGCAATATAATGTAGCAGCAGCCAAGCATATAGGCGTACAGGATTCCCCCCAAGATGGGTTCAAATCCTAGCTCCATCACTAGTTAGCTATGTGACCGTCCCCCTTACCCCCAAGCCAGGGGTTGGCACACTACAGGCCATGGGCCAAATCTAGCCTGGTGCCTCTTTTTGTAAATATATATATATATATTTTGAGATGGAGTCTCGCTCTGTTGCCAGGCTGGAGTGCTGTGGCGTGATCTTGGCTCACTGTAACCTCCAATTCCCTAGTTGAAGTGACTGTCCTGCCTCAGCCTCCTGAGTAGCTGGGATTACAGGCATGTGCCACCATGCCTAGCTAATTTTTTTGTATTTTTAGTAGAGACGAGGTTTCACCAGGTTAGCCAGGCTGGTCTCGAACTCCTGACCTCAGGCGATCCCCCTGCCTCGGCCTCCCAAAGTGCTGGGAATACAGGCATGACCCATTTCGCCTGGCCGTAAATAAAGTTTTATTGGACACTGATAATACTCATTAATTTATGTTTTGTCTATGGCTGCGTTTGTGCTACAATGGCAAAGCTGAGTAGCTGTGACAGAGACCCTGTGGTCCACAAAGTTAATTACTATCTGTCCCTTTACAGACAAAGTTTGCCAACTCCTGTCCTAAGCAAGTTGCTTTACTTCAGTGAACTTCAGTTTCCTCACAGGTAAATTAGGGTCAAAACACTAACCACTTCAAAGGGGTTTCACAAAAATGAAACGAGGTAACACTTATGAGGTATTTACCATTGTACTTGCCACATGGTAAGTAGTCAGCGAAGGATACTGTAATGATCACACACTTATCTTCTCCCTGTCTCAGAAGAAAGGGCATTTCTCTCCTTTTATTCGAGGGTAATCATTGACCTCTATTTCTGATCCTGTTCTCTCTCATCTTATTTATTTTTTTTTAAGAGTCCCAGTCTTGTTGTGTTGCCCAGGCTGGAGTGCAGTGGTGTGATCATAGCTCACTGCAGCTTTGAACTCCTGGGCTTGAGCCTCCCAAGTCACTGGGACTACAGGCATGTGCCACCACAGCTGGCTAATTTTTGTATTTTTTGTTGATAGGGTCTTGCTATGTTGCCCAGGCTGGTCAAGAAATCTTGGCCTCAGGTGACCTTTCCCACAAAGTGTTGGGATTACAGGCACGAGCCACCGTGCCTGGTCTCTCCCATTTTATATAACAAACATTCATTGAACGCTTGCTGTATGCCACGCATTGTTGCAGATGCTGAGAATATAAAGAGTAACAAGACAAAAACCCTATCAACCTCTACGTCTCTTATCAACTTCTTCCTTCTCTTTGCCTTTCACCTCTCTCTCCACTCCTTTCCTCGCACTCATTCTGATCCTAACCCTACTTCTACCGCTCACATTAAGGTAACCCATGATGGTCTGGAAGTGGCCCGTTACCTGACCTTCCAGCAGCATTTGGTATTGCCGACTGCCCCTTCCTTCTTGAAATCTTTGTCCTCTGAGATACCACAACTTCTTTGTTTTTGTCTTCCCTGACTATTCCCTTGCCAATAGTCCTTACCTACCTTGTCCTTAAATGCGGGTGTTCCTAACGTCTTTGTCTTGGGCCCTCTTCTTCCTCTAACTGCTCTTCCTAAGAATCTCATCTATTTCAAAAGCCTCATTTACCATCTACATATGTGCAAATGACTCCCACACTAAACCTCTATTTCAGACTTTCCTTCTGAGGTCCAGACGAGCTCCTCTAGTCTACTAGAGACATCCTCCCCTGGATGTTTCCCAGGCTCTCAGGCTCCACACAGTCAACACATCACCTTTTCCTTCCCACTCCCCAATCTGTTCCACTTCCTTTTAAATCATATAGGTAAATATAGGTAGACCATCATCTACTGTTTTTTTTTTTTTTTTTTTTGAGATGGAGTCTCGCTCTGTCACCCAGGCTGGAGTGCAGTGGCGCGATCTTGGCTCACTGCAAGCTCTACCTCCCGGGTTCACGCCATTCTCCTGCCTCAGCCTCCCAAGTAGCTGGGACTACAGGCGCCCGCCACCAGGCCCGGCTAATTTTTTGTATTTTTAGTAGGGACGGGGTTTCGCCGTGTTAACTAGGATGGTCTCGATCTCCTAACCTCATGATCCACCCGCCTCGGCCTCCCAAAGTGCTGGGATTACAGGCGTGAGCCACTGTGCCCGGCATTTTTGGGTTTTTTTTGAGACAGAGTCTCACTCTGTCACCCAGGCTGGAGTGCAATGGCATGATCTTGGCTCACTGCCACCTCTGCCTCCTGGGTACAAGCAATTCTCCTGCCTCAGTCTCCCAAGTAGCTGGGATTACACAAGTGTGCACTACCACGCCTGGCTAATTTTTGTATTTTTAGTAGAGACAGGGTTTCGCCACGTTGGCCAGGCTGGTCTCGAGCTCCTGACCTCAGGTGATCTGCCAGCCTTGGCCTCCCAAAGTGCTAGGATTACAGGCGTGAGCCACCATGCCCCGCCCATCATCTACTGTTTTGTTCAAACCAGGGACACTGGACTGTCTACGTTCAACCTGTCATTAAGTACTCTCGATTCTACCTCCCACCAAATTTAGTAACTTTCCCCTTCATCCCGACTGCCCCTTTTCTAGTCTAGCTCCCACTCCCTCGTACCCCGGGTAAAAGTAACTTCACAAATCATCTCCTAATATCCATTCTTCCCATCTCCCAGGCCATTCTCCATGTCACCAGAGTGATGGTTCAGAAACACAAATCTGATGTCACTCCCTGCTTAATACTCTCCAACGGCTTTTCACTGTTTCGGATAAAGACAAAAATTCTTACCAAAGCCTGAAAGCCCCTACGTGACCCAGCCTGTTTACCCCTCCGGTCTTGTTCTCACGTTAGTCCTCTCCTAGTTCCCTACATCCCAAACATAATAGATTTCTGTGAATTCTTCCGAAGTGCCACTGCCTTCCCCATGTTCACACACGTGTTCCTCATGTGTAGGTTCCTCAGCCTACACAGTCATTGTGCCAGGGAGGCCTCTCCTGACTCTCCAGACCAGGCGAGCTCTCCTGTTTGTACTCTGTTGGCACCTTGCTCTTGCTCTGCCATTACATGGAGTAGACTTTTCCAATGTCTGTTTCCTCCATGGTTCCATCAACTCCATGAAGACGTGATCCATGACTGTCTTATCCACCATAGTATCTCCAGATGCCTGCCACATCATGTAGGCACTCAGTGAATACTTGCTGGATGGATGAATAGATGAACGCACTAGCTCCCATCCTCAGCCTAAGAACATGCATGCTTAAGCCTCTCCCAACTAACAGAAGTCTTCCTTCAACTATCTCCTCCTTTTGCTACAGCGCTTGTTCTCTTTTCCTTCATTGATGAGGATCTGGGAAAAGCGGTCTCACCTACCATTTGGATTTCACTTTATAATCCCTCATCCAATGCTCTATAATGTTTCCCAGTCCCACCACTCCACTGATTCTCTGAGACAAGCAATGGACGAATCCAGTGCTAGGTCCAATAACCACCTCAAAGTTTATTCTTCTAATTGATCTCTGCAACATGTGATGCCGCCAGTTAGAAACCCCTGCTCTGGCTCCTGTGACACGCTCTCTTCGGGTTCCCTTCCTGTGTCTCTGATTATTCATTTTTGTTCTACTTCTACTCAGCCCTCAAATGTTGGTGCCTACCAGACTCTGTCCTTAGCTCTTTCCTCTCTAAGAATATCTCCCATCCCCAGCAGATCTCATCTATTCCTACCAGCCACAAGTGCACCCACATAACAATGAAGTCTAGCTTTTTGCCTTTAATCTTGAAATTGCTCCTAAACTACAGGTTTCCCTTATCTGTACCTCTGTACCTCTCTACCTGGACACCCACGAAACTCAGATACCATGTCTACAGCTTAGTCAATTATCCTTGCAGGCATACAAACTCACTATTTTATTGTTCTAGCTTGGCAAGATAATGACCTATTCTACTCTGTTGTCAAACCTCTTGAATTGGTCACTAAGTTATTTCCATTCTTGCCTCCTAAATATTTTTTTTTTTTTTTTTTTTTTTTTGAGACGGAGTCTGTCACCCAGGCTGGAGTACAGTGGCGCGGTCTTGGCTCACTGCAAGCTCCCCCTCCTGGGTTCACACCATTCTCCTGCCTCAGCCTCCCAAGTAGCTGGGACTACAGGTGCCCGCCACCAGGCCTGGCTAAATTTTTTTTTTTTTTTTTTGAGACAGAGTCTTGCTCTGTCACCCAGGCTGGAGTGCAGTGGCGCGATCTCGGCTCAATGCAAACGCTGCCTCCCAGGTTCATGCCATTCTCCTGCCTCAGGCCCCCGAGTAGCTGCGGCTACAGGCGCCCGCCACCACACCCGGCTAATTTTTTTGTATTTTTAGTAGAGACGGGGTTTCACCATGTTAGCTAGGATGGTCTCGATCTGCTGACCTCATGATCCATCTGCCTCGGCCTCCCAAAGTGCTGGGATTACAGGCGTGAGCCACCGCGCCTGGCTAATTTTTTGTATTTTTAGTAGAGACAGGGTTTCACCGTGTTAGCCACGATGGTCTCGATCTCCTGACCTCATGATCCACCCACCTCAGCCTCCCAAAGTGCTGGGATTACAGGCGTCAGCCACCACGCCCAGCCTCCTAAATATTTCTTAAAACCTTCCCCACTCCTCTCCATCTCCATTAGCATGTTCTCTCATCATCTTTTTCCTGGACTATTATAATGGCTTCCTAACAGGTCCTTTTACCTATATTTGCCACATTTCTGCCAACATCTTTCTGTAACACGAATCTGATCCAGTTATACTTTCCTTCTTAAGACAGGGTTCAACAGCTCTCCATTGCTTACAAAATAACATCCAAACTCCTGGCTTCTGAGGCTCTGACCCTGACTATCCTCCCACTTTCCCTCAACAACATCCTATACTCTTGCCATAGCAATTACTCATTGTTTCTCAAATGTGTCATCCTCTTTCAGGCCTCTAAGTCTTTGCATATACTGTATCCTCTGTCAGGAATAACTTTTTCTCTTATGCCTATTTGGTCAACTATTACTCTTTAAGACTCATCGCCTTGGGAAATCTTCCCTGAATTGCCAGGCAAGCTTCCATCCCAAGCTCCCTTTATGACCTCTCCATTCTAGGTTCCTGCAATCTTCCTTCTTGAACTTTGGGCTCACACCAAAGTTCTTTCTGTCTCCATATACTTTCCTTTGTTTGAACCTTTGCCTATGTAGGTTCCGGTTTCAAGGAATCGGTTTATGTCAATGAATTCCTTAAAGTTTCTTGGCTCCCTCCAGGAAGATTTCCCTAGACCAGCTTAGTTAGTCCTACTTGTTCTACCCTGACCCCCAGTACCTCCCATTTCAAACCACTTACTTTTTTTTTTTTGAGATGGAGTCTCGCTCTGTCACCCAGGCTGGAGTGCAATGGCATGATCTCGGCTCACTGCAACCTCCGCCTCCCAGGTTCAAGCGATTCTCCTGCCTCAGACTCCTGAGTAGCTGGGACTACAGGTGCCCGCCACCACGCCTGGCTAATTTTTGTATTTTTAGTAGAGATGGGGTTTCACCATGTTGGTCAGCCTGGTTCTGAACTCCTGACCTTGTGATCCACCTGCCTCAGCCTCCCAAAGCGCTGGGATTACAGGCCTGAGCCACCGCGCCCGGCCCCACTTACCATGTTTTACTATTACCGCTTCATTATCTGACCACCTGGCTTGACTGACAAATTGTCTGTCTAGCTCACCCTCCGAGTTCAGCAGAATGCTGAACACTGATGCTTAATAGGTTTAATGCATGAGTGTGTCTGTGTGTCTGTCTTCCTCACTTGACTGTGGGCTCCCTAAGGGCAGGGACTGTCTTATTCATTTGTGCCTGGTATTAGTTGGGGGGAGGGCAGTCAGTAAAATCTTTGATAAATGAACACATGATATCATATGTGGTATCTATCACATTTGCCCTCAAAGTCCCTATGTGCCACAGGTCTGATGTGGCACGTCACTCCTTGAGTTCCATCTTATAAGACACTCCAGCAAGTATCCACATTGGCTTGGCTTTATTCAGCGTCGTCCTTTCCTCAGTCCTTTGGGCAGAAAAACATCAATATCCTAAATTTGTGCAAGAATCATCTTGGGAACAACAGGCTGGATCTTGGATTTTCTCGATTCCCAAAGCTCTTGAAGCCGTGGCACCAAACCTAACCACTTACCGCTTGAGAGGCCATCATTTCATTTATACTCTGTTCATACTGCTCTGCCAAAATGGCAAGTTTTCTTGTCTGCTCATCTTTCAGTGTCTTTAAGATTGTTTTGTGCTCATTCTTTGGAGTAACTTCCAACTGGTGATTCTTGAGTGCTTTATACTGTTTGGTCTGTACTTTGCAAGTGTCCTGAAACTGTTTTTTAATTTGCATTTCCATGGCCTGGGTAGAAAAAGTGACAAAGGAAAAATAAAGGCACATCAGTAAATGCAGAAAGCCTTCTACCATAATGATATAATACAAGTGCTGAGAGCATCTGTTTTTTTGGTGCAGTGACCCACATTGCTAATCAATAAAAATCAAGCAGTATGTATGACACAGCAAAAGTTAACTCCACCTATACTTTTGGTTTTATATTGAATGACTGTAAGTAATTTTGAATTTACAAATGGCTCCAAAGAAAATATGGACTGTTACAAGGGGATGACAACTCTAAGCAGATTGAGGGATATTATGTAGCTTAGCTTGCTGAAAGAGTGGCAACTCTTTTCACGCTTTCCTAGTCAGAGAGACACTTCAGTGTCTTCCACTGTTCATTATTTTTTTCCTTTTTTTTTTCTTTTTGTGTTTCACCCTGCTTTCAAGTGAGAGAGGGGATAGCATTATATAAGCCAGCTCTCACTGCTCTGGTTTATAGCAATTTCTTATCAACTCCATAAAGGAGAGCATATGGATAGTACCTCATATCCTAACCCATTTCCACTGGATTTCAGCGTAAACTGAAAGAGAAAAGTGATTTAGAATTTTTTCCCCATTAAGAGGCTGTGCTTGCATGTAGCAATATCAAATATGCATTTGGGCAAAGAGAAGGTAGAGTATATCATTTTAAGCCCAGAAGGCACTCCATCAGGTTGCCCCATAGTCATGTGTGCACTTCATAAACACTCTGAGGACTAATGGTGACAGAAATCACTGCTTAGCTTAGGATTTGACTGAAGAGATGCACAGCCAGGGTGATCGAGGTTGGCGTCACATCTGTGCCAACATTGACAATGTCCTCCTGGATATATAGCAATGGCTTAGTACACAGAACTTGTTAATTAGCAGTCAGGTAAAATTAGCTGGAGGCAGTGAGGGCCACAGGAGTTCCTTCACATCTCTGCATCTCTAGTGCAGAAGTGGTAAATGTCAGGCACTTGTAGATTCATTCCTGATGACCATGACAGACATCACTAATAAATGACACTCTTTCCTCCTAAGCTTGGATGGGGCTTTAGAGTCTTTCTCAATACAGTGGTGCTCAAAGTATCTAACACCAATATAACTTCCTTATTTCCTGGGATTAGAACCATAAACTGCTATTAGTCCAGTTTTGAAGAGGGCAGGTCATGAAGTGCTCAGATAAATTCCATAATGGATATGAGGACAAATTGATAGATAATGTAGTACAATAATAGTTTCCAAACCAGCTTGCCCAGCATCTCCTTTTCAGGAGCTTAAATACAGACTCTGTGCTTTACAATTGGAGATTCTGATGCAATAGGTGTGCGGCGCAGAAATTTGTGATTCTGAAAAGTTGCTCAGGTGACTCTGACACTTCAGGGAGAGAAACCACTGATCTGGTCCAACACTGTCCAGGAGCACACATAAGGAAATGCTCTCTCCTCTTACCTTTAAGTTTTTTGGCTGTTGCCGAAGTTCCATGACATGCTTTCTGTGCAGTTCCCTTTCTCGCCTCTTATTGTACTCCAGCTGGTTTTCCAGTTCAGTCTGGTGCTGTAAACGGATCAGATCCATGCGTAGCTTCTGTAACGTGTGCAGCTGCCTGTACTCTAGCTCTCGGGTGGACTCGTCGTGCCGGATTAGCATGGCATGCTCCATCTCCTTCTGGGTCCTCTTTTTATTTAGTTCCTGCGTCCAGGAACAAAAGATAAACAGAGAGAGGTGAATGGAGAGGAACTGGAAGGAATGCACAACTAAGTGAGGGATGGCAAGGAATGGCACTGCTAACCATCTCTTAATTAAACCCATTAGTGTTTGGCAGCAGGAGTTAATGAGATTAAATTAAAAATCTCTTCAGGTTTAGATTCTGTTCCTAGCTCCACCACTTACAAAATGGGCAACTTCACAGCAATCACTACTGCACTATCTGTAAAATGGGATTAATTCTGCCTGACTCCCTTTTACCTCACAGAGCTGCTGTGAACCTTAGTTAGGTGATGTGCTATGCATAGGTCTACATAAATGTTTCTTCAGTGAAGCTAGTGGTTCTACACCCTGACTGCCCATAGAAATCATGTGAGGAAACTTTTCAAACATAAGATGCTTGAATCTCACAGGGTGAAATTCTCATAACTGTCTGGGGTGGAAGCCTGATGTCAGTATTGGTAAGAGTTCTCCAGGTGGTTCCAATATGAGAATTAAACTGATAATATCTGCAATGTTCTTAGCTTTCTGGGAAATACCCTGTTTTTGCACGAATCAGAAGTAGGCCAATTATCTATTTTTGAAAATCTCAGAGTTCAAGGCATGTTGGGAAAAAAAAAACAGATGACATCTATCCTCTTTCATCTTCCATATTACAATCTGTTTAATCATTTATAGATCTAATCACTCTGTTCTTTTCCGTTCTACTCATGTCTGTCTTTCTTCCTTTTCTTTCTTTCTTGTTGAAAGAGGAAAGGAAAGCAAACTAGAAAAAAAGGGGAAGTTGGGTGAAATCTTTTCATTCCTCAATTGAAGAATATTTCTTAAATAGCACTATATATGAAGATCTGAACAATGTGCTCTCAGTACATAAAAATATTTATTAAACCATGACTTCTGTCCTCAACTCACTGACATTCCAATAGGGAAGTGCACTAGACATTTATTGAAGTATATGCTCTGCTCAAAGCTCACTGAATCAGATTTAGATACGAGGCCCAACCTGGGTCAATTTATTTTCTCTACTTGGAATTTGGAATTGATATTCAGAACCAGTTAATCTCTATGTGTGGCTGGAATTGAGGCATAGAAAAACCGCATATGTGGTAGTCATCTGCTGCTATGAGGGCTGAGGATTAGAGAAAGCTGGGCTTTAGACCAAGAAGAAATGAAAAAGAGAGAAGTGCAGGGAATATACTGATGCCTACGTTGCTTACTGCTTCTGAGCCCTCCAGTAGGTCCAGCTGTATTACTGCTATTTGATTTTATAAGACATTCCCGTATTTCTATAGTAATTTCTCTGGTTTTGGCTTAAGCTAGCTCAAATAAATTTCAGTTAACATGCAAACAAAAAAATCTTAATTAATACAGGGACATACTTTGTTTTTGGGGGGGGGGGGCGGGTAGAGATGGGGTCTCACTATGTTGCCTAGGTTGGTCTCGAACTCCTGGACTCAAGTGATCCTCCCATCTCAACCTCCCAAAATGCTGGGATTATAAGCATGAGCCACCCCACCATGCTCAGCCAGGAAATAAGTTTTATGTGCAAATTAAAAAAAAAAAAAAGAGAGCGAGGTTGGATAAGTAATGAATGCTATAAAAGGGGTAAAGATTTTATGCTGTAAGATTTCTGTAAAGGGTGTATTACTTTTTTTTTTTTTTTTTTTTTTTGAGACAGAGTTTCGCTCTTGTCCCCCAGGCTGGAGTGCAATGGTGTGACTTCGGCTCACCACAACCTCCGCCTCCCAGGTTCAAGCAGTTCTCCTGCCTCAGCCTCCAGAGTAGCTGGGATTACAGGCATATGCCACCACGCCTGGCTAACTTTTGTATTTTTAGTAGAGACAGAGTTTCTCCATGCTGGTCAGGCTGGTCTCGAACTCTCGACCTCAAGTGATCTGCCCGCCTTGGCCTCCCAAAGTGTTAGGATTACAGGCATGAGCCACTGTGCCCGACCTAGTGGTATTACTATTAAGAAGGTCAGGGAAAGGCGAACGCTTTTGAGCTGTACTTTATCTTTATTAAATTTTTGAGACGGAGTTTCTACTTTGTTGCCCAGGCTGGAGTTCAATGGTGCGATCTTGGCTCACTGCAACCTCCGCCTCCAGGGTTCAAGCAATTGTCCTGCCTCAGCCTCCCGAATAGCTGGGATTACAGCGCCCACCACCACGCCTGGCTAATTTTTGTATTTTTAATATAGACAGGGTTTCATCATGTTGGCCAGGCTGGTCTCAAACTCCTGACCACAGGTGATCCACCCGTCTCAGCCTCTCAAAATGCTGGGACTATAAGCGTAAGCCACCATGCCCCAGCTTCAGCTGTACTTTAAATTAGAACAATAGAGTGCTCTCTTCTCTGATGGCATCCACTATGGGAGAAAATGCAAATTATTTGTTTTAATAGATATATCAATAACATTTTTATACTGGTGTGGTTGGAAATATCTTGTACACTTGGGCTCCCTATTGATTTGAAGAGAAATCCTTTTAATAGCACAGCATCTAGTACTAGAGCATATTCACTAATCATTCACTTATTCATTCAACAAGTAGTTACTGAGCACCTACTATGTGCTGGGCACTGTTGTAGGAACTAGGGATACAACAGTGAACACGTACACCCCCTTAGGGACCTTATAAGGAGAAAAAACCCAAAGTATAAATACAATTTAAATTTGTTTTAAGGAATAAAAAATGAGCCCCTAGAGTTCTCTCTCTCATCTCCTCCTGTGTTTTCCTTTGTTTTATTTTTCCTCTTTACCTAGACCATCAAATTTCTTTTTTACAAATCAGTAACTGACCCCTAGGTGGCACCAAAGGACAGACAGCCCTTCCCACAGATGAAAGCTCTCCCAGGCCAAGGAAAGCCCTTCAAATGAGGGTTTTAATTGGGATCCAGGAGTCCCAATACTGGGCATTTATTCATCCCACACTTTCCTAAATTGAGAAATGCAAACTGAGTCTGAGTTACTAAGAGCCCTGAAACTCATGGGTTCTTGATACAAAGCAAGAAAATACCTTCAGAAGAAATCAAGTACTTCTCTTCATGCTTAATCAAATGCTTCACGATATTGTCCACAGAATACCTACATCCGAATTACCTGTGTTAAAAGCGACTGGTCTGTATAACAAGCTACGCAGCTAATTCTGACATATATGAAAGTTTGAGAATCAATGGAAAAGTGCTAAGGGCATGAGTCAGTTTCAGCTCCTCTATAAGTCTCATGTACGGCTTGGGGCAAGTCTCTTAATCTACATTTCAGGTGTAAAATAAGGATAGCAGTACGCATTGTGAACTATTGTAATTGTAAAGATAAAATGAAAGACCATAGGAAAGTGTTTCAGAATACATAAATATGTCATTAGTTTTCTCTATTCAGAAGTGAATATGTGGCATATAATATCTTAAATCTAGTTTTTATAAACTATTAGAAGAGTAAGAAAAACATGATACTGAAATGGCTTTTCTGTTACAAGTTGTTCCCTTTGCCTTTAATTTGTACATCTGAGTTGCTGAGGTGTAAGATGGTAAGCTACCTTTAATATTTGAGACATGGGGGAAAAATTATTCACCTTATTATGAGGCCAGTGCTGTGCCTACATAATAATGTATAACGTGCTTTCCATTTTTAAAAGTTATTCCATACATCTCATTCAATCCAAATTGCCACCCTATGAGGTGGTAAGACTGTAAGGATTTCCCCCGTTTATATGTGTTAGTAGGCATTTGGGAATTGAAGGACTAACATAAAAGTGATACAACTTCTATAAAGAGAACTAAGGCTAAAACTCAGGTATTTAGCTTCTCAGTATTTTCCATTAGAAATGTTCCAATAAATGAGGCCAGGCACGGTGGCTCATGCCTATAATCTCAGCACTTAGGGAGGCCGAGGCGGGTGGATCAGCTGAGGTCAGGAGTTCGAGATCAGCCTGGCTAACATGGTGAAATCCTGTCTCTACTAAAAATACAAAATTAGCCAAGTGTGGTGGCACATGCCTGTTATCCCAGCTACTTGGGAGGCTGAGGCAGGAGAATTGCTTGAACTCGGGAGGCGGAGGTTGCAGTGAGCTGAGATGGCACCATTGCACTCCAGCCTGGGCAACAAGAGCCAAACTCCGTCTCAAAAAAAAAAAAAAAAAAGAAGAAATGTTCTAATAAATGCATACTTTCCTGTTTTATACTTTTTCAGTCTGTGATATAATATTTTGAAGAATTCGGCTCTAGCTAGACATGATATAATGGTTAATGTTTTGTACAAATGACACAATATACATACTAGAGCCACATCATGTGCACCTTCAGCTTATACGAATTTAACAAAATAAGCTGAGCAAAAATTTAAAAACCAATTTTAATGGTACAGGTCATTCTGCCCACCCATGTACTCAATGTATGTATACATGTATGTATGTGTGTGTGTATATATATACACACATATACACACACATACGTATAGGCCCTGGAGGGAGTGCAGGAAGGAAGACATGCAGCTTCCTTTCCCTGAGTCAATGTCCAGTGTGTTTCAAGTGTTCTAACCTCCAATGGAAGAAGCATTGACTTCTTTAAAAGCAGCTGATTTCACTCATGCCAAATTTTTATGCTCAGGCTCACTGAGGTTGAGTAAAAACGAGAATTCTAACTTTTAAATAGAGATGCTATTTAATGCCATCTTAGTTTCAGTTCTTAGTTTCAACACTGGTCAGAAAATGCTGAGTGTCTGTATGTGTTGGTGATAGAGAAAGAGGCTCAACCCAGTTTCAGTGATCCTCTTAAGTGTTTTCACTAATTAAAAGGATTGCTAATGCTCAATCCTTCAGGCAAAGACATAGGAAACCAGGTATTCTTATGCTTTGTTGGTGGGAGTATAAACTCCTTTAGGGGGCAATTTGGCGATATTTATTTTAAAAAAGTAGATGTACGCATTCTTTTTTTTGAGACAGGGTCTTGCTCTGTCACCAGGCTGGAGTGCAGTGGCATGATCTCAGCTC